TGCGTAGGAAAGAGGAGTTGAAGAGAAATTAAAATTAAAATGGTAAAAGTCACATCCTTAGTGAACACAGTTATTCTGGAAAAACAGCATAAACTCCAAAAGATAGAAATCATGTTCAGTGTTGATATTTTGCTTGACAAGTTTGCGTTTCTGAATTTGGTTTTCATTTCTCTGGAATTGCTAAAATTCTTTTGAAGAATGGAAGTTTCTTTTACCTCTGCATAATGTTTCCCATAATTAACTCCACTCCCTAAAAAATAATTTTTCAAACATTCTGATGACTTTCTGTGTGATACAGAGAGACTGCATTTCAAACACATTCTTAATAATTCAGAAATACTTTCTTAGTGTTATCAACTTTCTTAGTCAAAGGTTTAATTGCATTCTGACCTTTTTTAATTCAGTATCGTATATTTAAAAATGGAAGTGCTTTTCAGACCTGAACTATGAGCTTTTATTATTCATAGCTTGGTATGAGATTGTGCAAAAGACAGTATTACTACACTTTGAAAGAAAATTGTGATATATATAAGATGAAAAAAAAACTGTGGGAAAGTAGTCACAGAGCTTATAAATATTTTAAGACATTCTTCGCCAAAAAAGATCACTTTATAATATTATCTAACTCTAAATTAACAACAATTTATGTTCCAAAGTATCATGTTTGATACACATTTTCAAAACATACCATTATTATTCATTCTCTGCTAGTGGACAAAACCAAATGCTTCATATTTGGAAAGACCCTCATACATCTGTTAAATAACCGAAGAAATTGTTTATTTCTAGATCTCAAAAACTACTGTTTTATAAAAAAAAATAAGCATTATATATTTGCAGTAATTTTAAAGCACAGATATATAGAGACCTCTATGTATGATCACAGAGGAAGGATAAAAACAAAGGCTTCCAATTTGATATTAAAATATTACAGAGTATATGCCATTTAGCAAAGAATTCACCGACTGCTAGTACATCCCTGAATGGAGATGAAAAGTCTTGAATTAATTTTGTAATGATTTTTTCACTTTAATTGCGATAAAAACCAGAAAGTTGTGTACTGAGCTAGAAAAAAGGTCGGGGTTTTTTCATAGACATAATTAACAAATCATTGTCTACATTCACCTTTTGAAAATGACAAAAGGAAAACTTTTTTCCAGTTTTGAAAACAAAAATTGGGAACACCAAGACAATCATGTCTCCCTCTTTTAGAAATATATGTGATTATAGCCTCTAGTACCACATAATTTTAGCTTGGTATTATCAGAGTTTTTTTAATCCTTTTTCTTTTCCTCTGGATGCTATTCCTTAAAACCAGGTTTGATTTCCCATTCTTGTATATAATATGTTGTAAACATATATTTTCATATATTTTCTTCCATTAGGTTGAAACAGGTGTATTTGAACTTTTAACAATAGTAAAAATTACCGACCAGAATTACAGAAATATTCTAAGAGATATCTGTCTAAACTTAAAGACTGAGAATTAACACAGAACACACATCTTGCTATAATGGTCTTGTAGTGACATCCAATTTGCTTTGGTCTCTTTTTTTTTTTTTGAGAAAAGGCACCAAGGTAAACACCATAGTTTATCTGCACAGTTTAATCTTGTCTATGCTAAGGATTAAATTGGAGTAAAAATGTCTCTTTATAAATCTAGAAATTATTTTGGAAATAACTAAGCTAAACAACAACAAAGCACTATTATTTCATAATTAAATATTCAACACATGCAATTATTCAAAAATAGTTCTGTGTTGTTCCTGAAGTTTAAGTTTATATTTTATTTAGGTCTACAACCATAGTTATATGTAGTCAGCTCTTACAAGAAATTAATCATGGGCTTAATTTAAAATTAGGGGTATGCAGAACTGTCACAATATCAAGGATCATTTGTGCATATTTTTTGGTACATATTAACACAATTCATGGATATTAAACCATTTTAGATTCTCCTGTTGTAGCTTAAAACTGACTGTATTCTGTCTGCAGAATTACAATAAAGTGAACAAGAATTCAAAGTGTTTTCAAACAAAAACTTTAATGTCTGATAGTTATGGTTTTGTTTCAGTAATTATAAAAAACAAAGAAGCAAATAAAAAACAGCAGTGTATTTTGCAGGAAAGAACAAAATCCTGTAGTATTTTCTTTTATCAGAAAAAATCAGGTTTCTGAGACTCTCTTGCATTTTCTCTCATGCACCACTTGGTAGACAAACTAACAAGAGTGAAATGAAGCATGATATACATAACAACTAAACAGAGAAAAAACCCTCTCAAAATAAAATATTGATATTGTGCAATTATAGCAGGATTAAAATATCACTGTTACCATTTATTTCATCTGCAAATAAGTATAGTTCAGCCAACCTTTTACAGGACATTTTGCCAAGACGCATTTCATTAGCAAAATATCTTTTCACTGTCATGAATTTAAACAGTATTGAGTAGAATATATTTGCAAAAAATTTACTTATTTAATTAGATTTACAATTAAATACGATGAACTGATCAAAATCAGCCATTAGATGTCTGTTGGATATGCATGTCCTAATAACAAGTGAAAAATACAGACCTTAATTTATCTATACCTTTAAATATTAGCTAGTGATGAACAACATTCTCACCCTTTTGCAGCATTGGGCAGCCTATAAGACTTTAGAAGCTATCTAATGTAATCTTTGAACTAGAAAACTCTCATTTGCCTGCTTCCTCTACTTAAACTGCACAACAATCTATGATGGTTGCATGTCAAACTAAACAAAAGTCTCAAGTAACTCTACTACTTCAGTATTGTTTTCTTAAGTACCTGCCACAGAACTCGGTCTGGATTGACTTTTGACTAAATCAAGTGGCATGGAATAAGGGAAATAAGGTTTGACCTGGCTGTGCTAATGTACAAATGGAATACTCTGCTACTGTGCTGCCTTCTTGAACTCATGTTGAAGTCCAATAATTTGTTTCAAAAGAAAGGAAATAGCAAAAAAACCCTGTTGCATGACACCTCAGTCCTACATTGCACTAGGTAAATGCCAGTGTTTTACTGTGGTAGGTGTACATTAGATCTGTAAGACTGCAAATGTTGTTAATAATAAATACACACTGGATCTTTGACTAGAGACTCTGCCGTTGTGACTGTTTACGGTAGTATGTTTTCAAACAACTCAAATGGTCAGATAAAGGAATATAACACTTACTCTAGACATTCATCTATGGTTGGAAGGCTTGTAGATAACAAATTGGGAAGCTGGAAGTCACCCATAAGGATTATCGAATCCAACTCCTTGCTCCTCACAGAACTACCTAAATACGACTAAGAGTTTTGTCCAGAAACTGATAGGCTTGTTACTGTGATCATTTCCCTGGGGAATCTGTTCCAGTGACACCCTCTCAGGGAAAAACCTTTTCCTAATGTACCATCTGAACTTCTTATATAGCTTAATTCCATTTCCTCATGTCCTAAGTCAACTAAGCAGTCACTAGCATCATCTAGTGGAATGCCAATCCTTACGAGGGAAATACATGCATCAAAATGCCATTAAAATGAGGTAATTTTTCTGTACCTCTTAGTCTGATTTTGAGAAATTAGAAATTATAAAGCCTCAAGATAAAAACTAAATTGTGCAGATTTTTTTGCAGTTGCTTGAAGATCATCTTTGGGTGATCACCGGGTGATGAAAGATCAGAGTGCAGACCTGTCTTGTAAGCCTGTGAATTTTAGTCCAGTAAGGGCATTTCTAGTGTTGCCTAAAGCCCAATTGCACTGGAATCTCATTTTGACCATAGTCTTGTTGGATAGAGATTTCCATTGGTGCAAGAACTATTAATTGTTCCTTGTGCTGATTCAACACTGCTATATAGGCAACAAAATGGTAGCACAAATCTCTCTTCACTGCTTCAATAAGTGAAAAAGCTACCTTAAAAATCTAGTTAATATCAAATATAGTACCACTTACCACATTATAGGACTAATCCTGTTGGCTTCATTACAGGTAGAATCCGTTATAAGATTGCAAAATCCCTCCTTTTAGTGTTGACTAACATAGCTATACATTTAAAATTGGTATCATGTTCTTGAAATGAACAATTTATAACATTCTACAAATCTGATATACTTTGTTCATGCATATCGTGTTCATTTTCTGTAACTATCGTTGCTTCCAGCAAAATCTTATTGTAGTCCAATAAATAAGACAAAAAAATACAGTAATTCATGATAACCAAAATAATTAAATAGTAGGAGCAGGTTAAAGATCAGCATTCATTTTTTAAATTAAATTTAAAAGTCTGCGGTAGTTACTTAGAAGATTGGCAAGTTTTACAAATAACATCGCTAAGCCTTTTAGAGAGAAACACAGCTGCATTAGAATGGAGTCATTAGGCGATACATTTATTTTGAAGCCAATTAACCTTTTGTCAGAGAAATGTCGGAGCTGTAATGGTTTCAGCAGTGGAGGTCAGCCTGTAACAGAGGCACGTATGACAGCGATTACGCTGTCTGACATATGCTGTAGACCGAGTACAGCCGTGGAATGAGAATCTGCCTTAGTTTGTATTCTGCTCTGCATTTTCAGGGAGCAGGCAATCTTGACCTATCCATTTAGGTAATTAAAGCTTCTATTTGGAAGTGTCCTGCAGGAAGGTGAAATTTGTGGGAGATAAATGGCTGCTGCTCACTGTATCCAGCCACTTCCATCATTTGATGGACTGCCTGAAACAGGCTGCATTGCCAGGTCCTCATAAAAATAGAGATGAATTGGGCAGGAGACAATTCTCTAAGGCAAAGCAACTCTGTCATCTTCCTTTTTGCAGCATATAATTTAATTGTTAGCCAAGGCAGACAGCTGACTCAGGGGCCTTTCTCTAATGACTTTCCCACCATCTTCCATTTGCTAAGAAATTATTTCAGTGTATTTACTTGCAAGCTAACTTTGTTTGACAATGAGAGATGTCACTTCAATAAGCTCAGCTGGCTGTCACAGCTGTGCCATGACTTACCTTCCAGGCGATTTTGTTTGCTATCGTATCATGCTCAACGGCAATTGGAAAGTCTCCTCTGTCATAAAACTTGCGAAATGCCGTGGGCTTTGCTGGTCTTTCTTTTTGTGATCCTGCAAGTGGGGGTCCTCTTACCTTAAAAAACCCCCACAAACAAAACAAGAAAAAAACCCATAGTTTAGTGGTAATATATTTTTAGAAAAAGCCTAATTTACATGGTTTAAATAGAAATAGATATGAAAGAATAACACTGATCTCCGAAATCATAGTTTGCTTTCTTCTTTACATGTCACTTCATGTGTAAAGTACATTTTGCTGGTGATCTACAGATTTTGTTAACTGTTTTTTTTGTTGCCAATTTCAGATTGTCCCATAAGAACTGATTATATTTCGAAGCAGATCTCTCCATTACCACAGCACTTTTAAGCAGGATTAAAACACCATGAAGGTATTGACATTCTGTAGTAGAAGTTGTTGGAAAATTAAGTATTTCTCCTTTTTATGTTTGCTTCTTTCTAGAAGTAATTTGATTTGATTTCCACCTAATATTACTGTCCACACCTTCCATGGTCTTTCCCTAGTCATTAGATAATGAGATTAGGTGATCTCCTTCAGCAAATCCCTTCCCCAAATGCTATGGATTTGGCTTTGATATGACTCCCAGTCCTTCAGTATTTATGGCTGAAGCACTGGAAAGAATGAAGGTCTTCTCTCAGACCTCTCCCCTCTGCCTGTGAGGAAATTTGATTTAGTTCCACTTAGTTCCTTATCTGAGTTATTGCTGGTTTAGCATATTGCATAGGTTGAATGACAGTCCAATTCCAAAACGCTCACACTGGAATCTTTTTCTCAGACAAATATGGTAATAACAGCAACTAACAATCGACACTAAGATAACAGAATTTCAAGTACCTATAAGAAATCTATTGTCTAAGAAAATTAACAAAGCTAATCTCAAATGCTAAAAGAGTCTAAAAGAGTCTAAGAGTTAAACTAATCTCAAATGTCCTTGACAACTGATTCTTTCCTGAGAAACTCTATAGCTGTACATCTTGAATACAGACTTTCTACAGTTCTCTGCATATCTCTTTTGTCAAAAATGCTTTTATAACTTGCTACCTTTTATAATACAGAATGTGTAAGTTTCAAAAAAAGGTGAGAGCTTCAAGGATCATAAATCAGATCTAGTATTTTGTATTCTATTTGTTTCTCTGTCTTCAGTGGCCCTTATATTAGTTTCTAGCAGTACAGACATTCAGCTTTCCAGTGAACAGAATGCAAACATGTAACATCCCTCGTTTCATTTCTGCTATTCTGTATTTTAACTCAGCTAACTACAGATCTAAATTTGACTTGGCACTTTTTTCCTCCAAAGTATTTTGACATCATTTTCCACTAGCTGAAGTAGAAGGGTCCGCTAATGATAAAACTACACTGTATTTTCCTAAAAATAGCTTACATTAGAGTTACTAAACTGTGACCTATTGTTGCATATTGCTGTCCCTGATAGATCATGTCCAGTGCAAATAGATTTGATATGCACAGCTGTAACTTTGCTTAGTAAACGCATCCTGCAGCAGTTGAGAGTAATACCTCAAGAAAAGCATTTCTATCCAGTGCAAATAAAACTTATTCTTCTGCAGAGGAACAATTTTTTCTATGCCACTAGTCTAAGTACTTTCACTTGTTTTTTTGGTCTTTTGTTTGTTTGTTTTTTCATTTCAGAGAAGTCTATGAGTCACTGAGCATTTGAGGCCACTAGAAAAGCACTTCTGTTCTTTTTGTGTATTTTTCATAAACAGGTCCTTCACACAGCCTTTCAAACTTTATTTTCTGTACAGTATTAGAAGTCCCTGTTATATTAAATTTTAACTTACATTATTGATAAAGAATACGTTGTCTTGACTACGAGATACAATCTGAATTATTTCTCTCAGACTCTCATAATTAGAGGTTGTTAATGCAATCCCAAATTGCATCTTATCTGATACAAAATGTTTTATTCTTCCAACTTATGTTAGTAAATTTACTATGACCCTTTTCCTAACGCAACTTTATGACTTTTCTAGAAAATATGCTTGTCATTTCAACTTCTTCCAGTTCTTTATTCAGGAACAAAGATGCTAGAAGGACTAAAAGTACCTTGGTTATCAAACCCATTGTGCATTGTCCTTACAAGATGGTTAGAAACTCCATCTTAGGTAGTATGCCTACAATTCTCAAAAAAAAAAAAATCTCAAAAAAAGATATGGTAGAATTAGAAAAGGTTCAGAGAAAGATAATGACTGAGGGTATGGAATTGCTTTTACAAGAACAGAATAAACTGGGAAAATGATTACTAAGGAGGAATAAAATAAAGAACTATACAATCAAGACATTACAGAGAAAATGAATAAGGACAGATTTTCCACCATCTCCTTCAGTAAAAGCATGGGATATAAAAAAAATCTAGTCAGTAAGAAGTTTGCAACAAACAAAAGTAGTTACGTATTCATGCAGCAAACAGTGGATTTCTGGAACTCTTTGCCAAAAGTCAGTGTAGGAAATCCTACAAGTTTCTGTACATTCAAGCTATGACTGGAAAAGCTGATGAAAAATAAATCTATTCAGGTTGACTAAATCCTTATTGTCAGTGATCAGAAATACCATTTCTATTTATATGATATTATCTTTTCATATGATACAGTCAGTCTGGTAGATCTACTAGCCTTACATTTAGTCTCTCATAGCCACATCACACTGGCATCTCATTGGTTACGTGGTATACATTGATTAACTGCTCCAGGAACTATCTTTTCCAGTTGATGAGCTCTATGCTAATAACATAATTTCTTGTCATTAGTTTTAAGTGCATTATGTTGTACTTTGTACTAATATATTTAATTCCATTTCTATTATACCAATTCTCAAGGGCTTCCACTTCTATCTGTGTGACACTATGATCTTCATCTGTTTTAATATGAACTCCAAACATTATGTCAACTCTAAATTTCATTAAACAATCATGATTTTTTAAAATAAAAATATTAAATAAGGTTAGCCTTAAAACCGCTTCTTAGAAGTTCCATTAGTAACTTTTATCTATCATCATTTCCCTAATTTCAATATTACATGTAATTATTGTCTCCATTTCATGGACTTTCTTACCCATCCAACACACCTGGTACTATATGACTACTGAAGCAGTTTGTATAGCTAGAGAAATAGCAGCATAACACATGCTTGAAAATAGTCTTAAGAAAGAGATATTGTTTTTCCCTTTGTCTTTAAGATGCTTTTCTTGTCAGATTGGTCTGCAATATGCATAGAGACCTTTAAATACCAGGAAGAGCAACTGACTTCAAAGGAATGAAATTATCTACACAGGAATGAGACTAACATCTGTCTAGAAGAAAGAAATATCAGTGATCAGGAAGACAGTGGCACTGTCCCTGCATTGAAGATATGGTATCTTGCATGACTGAAGAGTACTGTTGCTCTGCTTTAAGTTTATTCCATGGAGACAACTTGTTCCTTTTATTGGCATCTGAGACATTCACTAGAGTGACTGCATTGAGCTAGTACTGTTTACCTTTTGCAAACAGTTTCTTTTCTGTTCTATCTTCATTACTAAGGAGACCACCACTATCATATTTGGTACTCTGAGCACTGTTCTCTAATGCAGACATCTCTTTGGGTCATTCTAGTCATGCATAGTCTGTCTGAGGAAAAGTTTATGTGTACAATTTTCTCTTTTTTTTTTTTTTAATTCCTGATCCTGATGTATTTTGGTTTATGTATTTATTTTCCTATACTTAGATTTTAAGTAGCCCATTTTGAGACCAGACTTCTTTTTGTTTTCTCTTTGCAGCCTATCACAATACAGGAATGCCAGTCTTGAATTCAGATTAATTGCTATTAAAAAGTAATAAAAAACGTAGCAGTTAGATTCTGGAATAGAGTATCCAGAGTGAGAAGCTGTCTCAAAAGTGCTAGGCCAGTCAAGTTCTCCAGAAAACAAAGTCAAATTTACTTCTTTTTTGCTTTTCTTACAGAAGATATATTTCTCACAGTAGAAAACTGTTGAACAGTCTCTCCTAACAGCTGAATGATGGTTCTTAAAAGATCTTTTCTTCATGGAGATTTATTAATTCTCCATGTACAACTCAGTAGGACTTTCCTAGCAGTAATGTGACAGTTTCTGAAGACAAAAATAGTCCCTAATTTCCAAATGTAGAAGCCAGAGGGATAATACCTACTGATCTGGTGAGAGATGAAGCAATCTTATTTACCAAGCTGCTTCCATAAAATGTACTATTCAAAATCTTAAAGAAATGTTACAGTGTGAACTCTTAGGGCAAGACTAAGTATGCTTTCACTGGCTCACTAGGGAGCAGTTGCAAAGGGAGTTCCTAGAGGCTGGTATTGGGTTTGATACTGTCCAACATCTCTATAATGGATGTGGATGATAAAACTGAATGCTTGCTTTGAAAATCTGTGGATCATACCAAATTGAAAGGAGAAGAAGCAGCCATCACGCAGACAGGCCTTCACAAATTAGAAGACCAGTCCAACAAGATTTGCATAAATGTAATGTCTTGCACATGAGATCGAAAAATTCCAACCAGCAGTACAAGCTGGGTGGGATCTGAATAGCTGGGCTGTAGCTTTGCTGAAAGGGACCTGGGGATTCTCATGGGAAGCACTGAACTTGAGCTAGCAGTCTTTGCAGCAATGAATGCAGAATGAGCCCTGGATTGTATCAATAAGGGCACATCTGGAATACTGTGCCCAGTTCTAGTCCTACCAGTCCATGCCTAGTAGAGGACCGTGAAGAACATTAGGAGTCTGGAGATCTTGACAGAAGGTTCGAGAAATTGGATGTGTTTAGTCCAGAGAAGAGAAGGCTTAGGGGAGGATCTAACCACAGTCTTCTAATACCCAGAAGATATAGACAAGATGGATGTATATTGTCTTCAGAAGGATGCACAGAGCAAGAGGCAATGAGTGCAAATTACTTCAAGAGAAATTGTGTCTGGATACAACAGAAGAACCATCAGACAAAAAGAAAACACTGGAATAGGTTGCTCAGAGAAGTGGTGGAATCTCCTTGAAAATATTTGATTTGGCCTGGCAAGGATCTGAAAAAGACAAATTAATGACCCAGCTTTCAACGGAGACCTGAACTAGATGATCTCTATAAGTTTCTCTCAGCTGAGGCTCCTCTGTGATTTTATGTTGACAAGTGAAATACACAAAAAGTAATCACACAGTGCTTTCCTATGCGATAATGAGCTTTGTCTTCTTACATTTCATATTATTGTAATTACTGACAAAAAGGTCATTCTGAAAGTATTCCATTTATTGGAAAACAGTAACAAATACTATCTTCTTCAACCTAACAAAAATATTTTGTTGCAAAATAACTAGAAAGATTAAAATTAGTGTTCCAGTTAATTAAAGGCTAATATTCATGATGGCAAAGTAATAAACAACTTCTGAGGTTTGTTAAATGCCAAAAAGAAGTTGAAGAGTTTGATAATTGCAAAAATAATTTATTGTAATTCTATGCCATTGAACTATGTGACAAGATAAAAGATACAAGCCATTAAGCAAAAAAACCAGAGAAAGACCATATTTCTTTCATTGACTCACAGGCATTTAAAATCATTGTATGAGGTTGCATTCTTAGATTTTTCAGTGATGGTACATTAGGAAACTCACTAAAAAAAATTATTTGAAGCCGGGTTTAAACAGTTATTGTTTGAAGACTGAATTTTCTACATACTCTAACTGAATGTCAAACTCTATGCATACTCAGGGACCTAAACACTTGCCTGCATAAGACAACTGGTGATCTTCGGGAAAACTAACACTAACTTAAGCAGTTTAAGCCAGACAGAAATTGGATTTTTGTTATATAACAAAAATTAATATAAAAAAAGGACAAGTGACATTGTAATCAAATTTAACGGTTAAAGACACATCTTTAATTGATTAACCCAGGTTAATGCATTTAGGTGACAACTGGGAGGAAAGAAATAATTTCCATTTTTTTTGTTTCCCAATATCTGTACAGGAAGACTGGAAACCAACCTGAGCCTTTTACATTTTTTCCTCACAAAAAATATTTCATTAAATTTATTTGTGAAGCTATAGTGATCAGACATTACATGACCACTCAACTGTCTTACCTAAAAAATGCAGTCTTTCTTGAAAATATAATGCTATATTATCATGTTGAAGAATGAAATTTTCAGAAATAAAATCATGAATTCTCATTCTTTGTATTCGAACTGAAAAATGTATGTGTATAAAACTGCACTGTATCCACAGAATGGAGTCTACTAATGTGTGCTGCTTTTTCAGGGTAATGTAAAGGTTATGGCATCAAGGAACTATTTGTGTAACCACTGACATGGTCTTGGTCTCATCCTTCTCTTGTACTGGTGTTAAACTTGGTTAATGCAGCATAGTCCAATTGGCAATCCACTTATTTCCCCATAGGAAAGATAACCATTCATTTCCTTGGGTACAGGAACCAGAAGCTGCCGCCAAATCCTAATGTAAACCTCAAGCAAAATGCAAGATTTATTAAATAAGTCAAATAAATTACACTATGCAATGAAGAAATACTCAAGATAGCAGGAATAACGGCCAAATAATACATCTAGCACATGTTGACACACAAAGCTTTACTAGAACCATCAACCACAAGGTCCTCATCCACATAGTGAGATAGAGCTCTTAATCTTGGGGAACAGGCATCAGTACAACACTGCCTTGTTAGAACTCATGCCCAGAGAGCAACTCTAGGTGCAAAAGCTGTGATCCACAGTTTGTGGTTCTGGAGTTAGCACACACATAAGGACCTTACATGTTTCTATACTTGTAACACAGACAAGCCCATCATCAAGACAATCAATCATGCACAAAAAAAATCAGGATTTTGGCAGTTACCTAACAACTAAACAGAACAGTAGCGTGATAATAGTATTTG